ATTGCTTATATTGCTTTCAATCTACAACGATTGATCAATATTATTTGTTTTGCTACACTTGTTTTGAATTATTATGATATCAACCAATTTTTATACTTCTTTGCATACTTTAAAATTCGGCCCGGTAATCGACTCAGTCAGGTTTCCAGATCACCAGTTCAACCGTCGAGTCACCAGGTTAATGAATCGAATAATTAATTTTAAAATTTTTTAAATTATATAGAGTATTTTGTCATATAAATATACATAAAAGCAACAAAATTAAATATTTTTTTATGTAAAATTTGTAGATTAAAGTGGTAATAATATGTATTTTACGATAAATATTTACCATATAAATATATCAATAATACTAAGGAGCCAACCGTTGGCTCCATTACGGAGCCAACAACCAATTAGTCAGCTCCATGTGGGGCTGTCCATGTGGGACAGCTCCACATGAAGCTGTCCAATTGATTGTTGGCTTCGTAACGGAACCAATAATTGGCTCCTTAGCAGTATTGATAAATATATAGACATAATTTTAAGTTTTTTTTTTAAATATATATATATGTATGTATAGGAACCGGGTTTATTGGGTCGACCCAGTCATGTCAATGTCCCGGGTCGACCGGGTCAAGACCGGGTTGGCTGACCGGGTCTTTTGTTGTCGGTCCAAATAGTCCACCCGAACAGATTTCGACTTCGGATCGATCGGGTCCCGAGTCGACCTGCCGGTCCGGTTGGAAAACACTGGTTCTGTGTATAAAACTAATAAATAATTTTGAAGTATACAAAAAATTATAATTAAGTTTATATATTTATAATTATATAACTTTTTCAACGTATCCCCGTGTACATAATTTATCCATTTAACATCAAACATCCCTTAAAAAAATGATAAAAAAAAATCCTCATTTATAAAGCCCAATCCAACAACAAAATCTTCCAAGCCGCTTGGGCCCAACTCACGGCTAAAAAACGAATTAATGACACTCTCTATCTCTTTTGAAATTGTTATTCATCATTTGTCATAACGCTTTAGTGTTTTCATTCCTACTCTTTTTTATTCTTATAATGTCTCTTTTAAAAGTCAATTTTAATACATAAGCAGTTATTTTAATTTTGACAGTTTTGACATTATCTATTTTATTTTTCTCTCATTTTATTCACGTTTTCTCCCTTCTTTTTCACATTTTTTCTTCTTCTTCTTGCTGTCTTCTTTGTTTTTGCACGACAACATCCCCATATTTTGTTTTCTCTCTTTTTGTTCTTCTTCTTAATTTTCTTAATTAACATGATACACTCGTGAAAAATCCAAAAATTTAGTATTATTCTTCCCAACAATTAAATTAGGGTTGTAGCAGAATTTCAAAAAATAAAACATCGTCATCTGCCCAAACGGCCCGTCATACATCTGCCACTCCATAGAGTGGTCGTCCCTCACCTTCCACTAGATGCTCGCCGCTCTCATACGATGCTCACCGTCTACAAATTGATCCAAGGTATGCATACATCCGATGATTTCTCCAACTTTCATGCTCGCGGGTGCCTCTCCCGCGAGACCCTTCTTCACCATAGTAATTTACCCTTATAAATCCGTCCCCAATGTCTGAAGTTAAATAATTATGCGTATCTTGGATCTTGTGTTGTTGTTGATTGTGTGTCGTGGTTGCCGATGTTTGAGCTCCAAATATTTGATAAAAAAAACTGAATGAATAAATGTCTTGGTATGTTTTATTTAAAATGCAAACTTAGCAATTACTTGAATAAATATTTTGTCAAATTTTATTATTGTGTTCTTTGAAATGGGTCTTTTTCATAATTTTTTATCCGTGTGACTTCTTGTTTTGACATTCATATATTTGTTATAAAACTTAAGTTGTTACTATTTTACTGTTTATATATTGTTGTTTTTATGGTGCTTGATAGATATTATATTGTTGTTTTGTTGTTACTTTTTTGTTTGTTGTTTTCATAATATATAACATTGTTTTCGTAATATACAACATTAATTTTTAAATTTATAGTAACAAACATTTTGTTACTTCTTAGTTAATTTTAATGGTTATGTATGTATAAACCAATTAATCATCTTTTTTATATTATATTTTTTGTTGTTTTTCTCTTAGGTATTCACATTTGAAGGATAAAAAGAAGAAATATTTGGTGAAGAAGAAGAATCGGAGAAAGAAGAGAAAAAAGAAAGGAAATAGTGAGATGGGAGAGAAAAAGACATAGTAAGAGAGAGAGAAAGAGAGAGAAATATAGTAAGAGAGAGAAAGTGATAAGAGACAATTTGGGACCACATTTAATTTTGGCTGCACGAGGCCATTAATAAGGTGGCTATGGTGGCTTTAATTAATGATGGTGGCTGAAATTAATGTTGGAGGCTGTGAAGTGGGCTGAGCAATAAATTGCAGCCGAAAGTTGCACAAATTCTGCAGCAACTTTGCACATTTTTCAGCTATAAATAGGAGCACAATTTTGAAGCAAAAGATCACAACAACACAAGAAGAAAAAGAGAGAGAGAAAGAGAGAGCTAATAAAATTTTAGCCTTTGTGAGTATTTTTGTGTTGTGAGTTGTGAGTGATTTCGAGAGTGTTTTGTAAACACGAGTGTATTTCTTTTTCCCAATAAAATATCTGCAGTAGTCCGGAGACGTAGGCATTATTGGCCGAACTCCGTTATCAATTTGGTGTGTCCAATTTTTTTTTTTTCGTTTTTATTTCACTTTTATTGATCCGACTTCATGGAAATTTCAGCGTATTTTTCCCAACAGAAAGACGGTAGTTATTATTGATTTAAATTTCTGTAACTTATTGTTGACGTATATTTGGAATTCACTGTGTCCTGCTTCTTTTAT